AAAGGGGCCAAGCGGTGGTCCGGTAAGGCGGGATATGAAGGATATTTGAACAACGATGCGGCAACATTACCGGAAATTCTTAGTGACAATGGATACTTCACAGTGATGTCGGGAAAGGTAGGTGTTTGATTGCTTTGATTGACGTACCGCCGAAATAGCTTGAAAAGAAGAATGAAGCTAAGCGGAGTGTAGTGGCATTTAGGTCTTCGGGCTTCCCAGGGTCCTTGGGAGCGCGGGTTTCAGAAAGCATTTGCCATGCTTCCTGGCTGTTGCAATCATTATGGTTGGGAGCCAGTGCAGGAACGTTTTCCAGTGGGCGGTCGGCCTGTCCATGCTGAGAAGGGAAAGAAGGTTGACATGTGAGCTTGTTTCTTCGTGTCTTTGACCTGTCGTCAAAGGCTATAATGGTAACTCTGACCGTTCATTCTTTTTCAGTCCACCTAATAAGACAGAAGATCCTAATGGATTCTATTCAACCGACTTTTACACTAGTCGACTCATCAATTACTTCGAAAATCGATCTGATGACGACAAAGAAAAGCCGTTCTTTGCATTTCTCCCTTACACCGCACCTCATTGGCCTTTGCAATGCTCTAAGGCACAACGTGACAAGTAAGTTCATAGACAAGCCCCTGCCTGCCGACTTCGTGAATTTCAGCAAAATCAGTCTAACCAACTGTATAATTCAAGATATAATGGAATCTACGACGATGGCCCATACGCTCTAAGGGAGCGACGCCTGAAGAAACTGGCAGAAATGGGAATCATTGATAAATCGGTCATTCCCCACAAGGTTGAGACTTCTACACAAGGCGTCGGAGAGTGGGAAGACTTAACACTAGAGGAAAAGAAACTATCAAGCCGTGCAATGGAAGCATATGCTGGAATGGTGGATTCCATAGATGTCAACATCGGCAAAGTTGTTAATTACCTTAAGCAGACAGGGGAGTATGATAACACCTTCATTGTTTTTATGAGCGATAATGGAGCAGAAGGAGCCGCGTAAGTACCCATACTCTGCAATTCCCTTCTATTACACCTCGGGTATATGCTTACTTGAGTAATTTTCTTATTTCACAGAATGGAAGCTGTTCGTAAGTTGCAGACCCCGGCCCCTTTTCGAGCGCTTAGCTAATCTAATGAACTCTCTTAGCTGTCATGGGCGAGAATATCAAGCAAGCAATTCATCAATACTATGACAACTCTTATGACAATATTGGTTCTTGGAACTCTTTTACCTGGTACGTTGTATGAAGAATTAGTCAGACAGTGCTGACACTTCGATTCCAGGCTCGGGCCATTATGGGCTCAAGCATCCACAGCTCCATCCCGCCTATTCAAGTGCTTCCCCTCCCAAGGCGGCATCCTCGTGCCATGCGTTGTCAAACCACCAGTAAATACTTTCCTCTCGTCATTCACTCCCGGATCTTTCAGCCGATCATTTACAACGGTCATGGACTTCGTTCCAACCTTTCTTGACCTTGCTGGCGTGACTTTACCTGGCTCCTCAGAAAAGTCTCAGCCTACATCCTTGGGCAAGAATACCGCCATGCGCAGGATGACTACATTTCGAGGGAAAGATGTCCATGCAATCAGGGGAAAGTCCTGGATGCCGCTATTTGGCAAGGGCAAAATGACAGAAAACGACGAGATGTGGGCAATTCACTCCTCTTCAGAACCAGTGGGATGGGAGCTCTTTGCACGTGGCGCCTTGAGGAAAGGTGACTGGAAGATTGTTCATATATCCAAGGCTCATGGAGGTGCCGGGGAGGGTGATGATGGTTGGGAATTATTCAACGTCGTTGAAGATCCTGGAGAGACTACAGACTTGGCCCAAACGAAGCCTGAGAAGTTGCAGGAGCTGCTATCGTGCTGGGACGAATATGTTGTCGAGTGTGGTATAGTCTGGGGCGAGACGGCGCTAGCTCCTGGCCTTGGGGTTGATGAAGCACCCGCTCTCTGGGAGGATGAACTGGAGTTGCAGAAAGCGTGGATGGGGGCTCGAGGAGGCGAATGCCCAGCACCCTGTTCTTGATTTAACTACCATCACCACTAATTGCCGGCGTAAATGCAGTCTGCTCTTCAAGTTAAGGACTAAGTGTCTTAGAATGGTATATTTGTTTGAAGCTAAAGATAGACTTGTAGATCATACAATATACAAAACGACTGCGTTTAGTCCACCGAATATTTTGTTCCACCTTGTCTCCGAATTTCGTCCATGATTTTCATCACATTAATCGTCTCCGACCAAGGCATGATTGAACTTTGCTTTCGGCCTTCAAGGATGTCCTTCCCCGTATTATCGATCTCGTGGATAAATCCTCTGCTTTGTTCCGGGAATTCAAATTTTTTAATTAGCTCGTGCTTTTTCGCACTACCCGGCGGATTTTTCTTGTAGATTGTGAACGAGTGTGGAATGGAGCCTCCCAGGCCTGCTATCTCAATGTAGCCGTCTCGACCGTCAACTCGAGCAATAACACCTGGACCTCTGTTTATGTTGGTTGTACATGTTGCAATTGCTTGGCGGCCGGTGGAAGGATAGCTGAGCAGGATGCTGCTTGTCACTTCGATATCCTCGTCAAATGATTGCTGGGCGAGAACCTTTGGCATTTCTGAGTGGGACGGAGTTCCAGCATCCAACGTCAAAAGAGACCAAGTCAAGCTATAGACTCCAACGTCCAAAAGGGAGCCTGCTCCCAAATCTGGATCTCGATATCTAGAGCTTTGCGGCAGGCTGCGAATATCGAGATCCAGCCCGAAATCGGCAAACATCCGAAATGGCTCGCCAATGACATTCTCTTCATGAATCGCCGATCTTAGCTGCTGAACTAGGGGTCGATGCCTCAACCACATTGCCTCAGCTACATAGACCCCTTTCTCGCGAGCAGCATCGAACACTTCCTGTGCCTCCTTAGCATTCAGCGTGAAGGCCTTCTCACATAGTACCGCCTTTCCTGCTGCAATTGCTTCGAGACAATGTTTCTTGTGGAATGCGTGAGGGGTACCTATGTAGATGATGTCTACATTAGCATCATCGTAGAGCTGCTGGTAGTTTCCGTAGATAGTTGGTGATGCATCAGGGCAGCATTTTGCGGCAAAAACTCGTCCCTTCTCTACAGATGAAGATCCAATCGACTGTACAATATGATTGACGAGGGGGTTATCTCGCTTCATGACCATCTCCTCGACGAACCATGTTGATATTAGGCCGGTACCTAGGTGGCTCTCGTTAAATGGAGGTAGAAACGCCCGAGCGATTGGAAAGGGGCCCTACCCAAAATACCCCACCTCAAACTTTGCTTACTTGCCATGTAGTTTGTATTGTATGTGATCACGTTCAAGTTGTAAAGTTTGAAAAGTCTAGATATTACGGATCGGTAGTGTGCACATGGGCAGTAGGCAGGAACCGTCAATTCGTATGCCCGTCTTGGCGGTTTGTTCAATCTTATAAAAGCAGGGACGAGCCTCAAGGGGATCACATTTCACGAATTGGAGTCGCGGGGCTAGTAAAACGCACCCCCCGAAGGACAGGGTTGGCTTCAGGACGCTACGGAACAAGGGTTATCCACCCAATATTTGGGCTTTTGATATTATCCGGCTCGTATGAGGGGCTTCACCGTGTTCGTGTTAGGTCCAATAAAACATGAAAATTTGTTTGGTACATGCTTTAGTCTACCTCCGCCATTCCGCGGACGGTGGGGGTTTGTCTCCCAGTCAGAGCAAGCTTCAGCCGAGTTTTCCTGGACACTACTGCACTGGGTATGTCGTTAACAATGATGCTATCATTAGACGGGTTATAGTGTTAGCGATTATGAGTCTCGCAACTTCGGCCACTGTAGTCCTCACCTGACGGCCGCCGCGCGCAGCTACTGATCCACCTGTTGTGGTCGATTACTAATATAGAATAAAAGCTGTAATACTGCAATGTCGAAACGCGCCAATGGTTCTGCATTCGCGTGTCTGTATATTGCGGCCTAAGCGGTCGAGAAATTGAACCTAGGATTTCTTTTGAACTTCTTTCGAGCTGCCTGTGTCATCTCGCACGGCTAGACGACTTCGTCGGTTTAAAAATGGGTGGGAATTTCGAGCCCTATTGATACTTGCGCTGGGGCAAAGCAGACGCACGAGTCCTATTCCGAGCGAGAATGGGGTACTGTTCCGAGCGAGACATCAGGGAACCGAGGAGGGGCAAAGTAGTGCCCTTTCAGGGGTTGTCCAACAAGTCGAAGAATCATTATCGGCTGCTGATCTTGACGCACATCAATGGTGCATCTGGCCGCACCTTGATGGTGTCATTCTCTTCATTTATAGGCTTTGCTACTAGGTGATGAACAATCCCCATGGCAAAATACACCAGCACCTGATGTGAACAAACCGTATTTGCCTTACCTACAAACGCAAAACCATGGTAGACCATAGGATGCGTGGCATGCTGTTGTATAACGATTGAGATCTAGAATAAGTAAGAATGTCTAAAAGGGAATGATCTCGCTCGGGAGAGCCGATTGGTAGACATGATTGTTGTGCCTCGTCTCGGACTGGGGATGCGGTACGAGAACAACGATATAAGTCACTTGAAGTTCATGACAGTATCCCCCACATCACCATACCGCGCTCCCACTTCGAATTCCCCGTGGGGCCCCACGTTTGACTTGATCACTGACACGAAATCACCATGGCCTCTTGCTTTCTCGTTACATTGCTTGCTTGTGCCTCCGTGGCCACGGCATATGTAAAGATAACGAATACTGTTCCACTTACTGTGCCCAACTCCCAGCCGCCATTTGCAAAGCCTCTTAGTTCTAATCTTGTTGGCTCTTCGCTCGAATTTCAATTCTGGCCTGCTTATGCGGGTAATGCCACCGGCCAGCCAAGCAAATATGTAAATCAGCTATTGAGAAACATCGGTGAGAGAATGGGGAAGTCCCCTGCTCTTCGCGCTGGTGGTAATTGTTCGAACGCATTGAACGTGCAGACACTCTGTTCACTTTGGTGTGAACATGTTGTTTATTCGTACTTTAGGCGGAAGTGAGAACAACGCATACGTAGATACATCGTTCCAACTGTGGAACTCTAGCCACTTAGATGAAGTTTACGGGCCCTTTAACAACCGTGCCAACACGACCATAGGCCAAGACTGGTACGTTGTTGCTGGAAACCTGCCAGCCGGCACCGAGTTTACCTTTGGTATCATCGAGAATAGTCAGTCCGAGGTTGAGACTCAGTCTCAGATGTTTACAGAGGCTTTCCAAGGGATCCGGGCCAACCTCACAAAGAATGTGACATTGAAGTTTGTGCAGATCGGCAACCAACCGAATTCTTCCTTCTCTAGTGCAGCCATCTACGTCCAAAAATGGAAGGCTCTAGCCAAGACGATGTTGAAGAACATCAAGATGGGTGGAGCAGATAACACAAACCTCTGGATAAGGTCTGAGATTATGTCATTTGGCACTGCGTGGCGCCTTACGGAAACTCTGGAGGCAGATATTCTTGACGACGAGGATATTTCTGCAGCTGCGTATCATGCAGCGTATGTTATGGGAGAACACTTGTACTCAGGCGCCATGAGAATCGGTGCTATTTCCGGAGGGCCGCCGCCAGGAACGCTAATGAACAAAGCATCTATCCGAGCCAACTTGTCTACAGCTTACAGCGGTATGCCGAACACGAGAGTTATGGAAAGACAAACTACTTGGTAGGTGACAACTCGGCTTATATGTTCAACGGCACAGCTGACCTTCTGTTTCCACAAAGGCCGAAACCGGTAATTATGCCTCGTAAGTGCTTTCTATCTCATTGGTTTGCCATTCCGTTGAGTTGAAGAACTAATCTTGTTAACAGTGAGGGTATATTTGGATTATCCAACACAGGTGAATCAGCCGTGTGGGTGGTAGACTACTTGCTCCATGCGGCATTGATGGGCATCGAGCGTGCTTATCTTCACAGCACACCAAACCGCATGTTCTCAGCCTTTCATCCAGGCTGGGGTTTCACCAATAGGACCGGCATCGCATATTAAGCGAATGTACAACGGAATTTCAGTAGTGGACGAGTTTATTGGCACCAGTGGAATGGCCAAAATCGCAGAAATCGAGAACGAGAACAGTGGTTTGGCGGTGTACGGAGTGTGGGAGAACGGCAAATCAGCTAGAATGGCATAAATCAACTCCAACGTAGTTAATGAAGGCACTACAGCTAGAGCAGCCCTCAATGTAACACCCATCAGCGGTATAATGGCGACCCACGCAACCGTCAAGAGTCTGAACATTCCGTACACCATGACAACGGAAGGCATGTAAGTCTACGAACTACCTTGACCTTATTTGTCTGCTTGGGGTTGCATGCTAACCATGATGGCCGTTAAGTTCCTGGGCTGGCCAATCATTTGAGACTTCCAGTGGTTTACCTTTGGGAAAGATAAGTGAAGAAGTGGTAAACGTGACTTTAATCGCTGTTGCAGCTTCCGAAGTCGTTCTGCTGGACTTCAACGGGGCATCCTGTCAACGCAAGTAGCGAGGGGGAAGGACTACCTACAAGGCCTGACTTCTCGGTATTTCACTCTTTATTCACATCATTTCAGACAAGGTCGAGAATAAAACAAGTATCTGCCAAAGTATTAGATTTGTAGCAGATAATTAAAGTATAGAACTTGAGTAGGCTTCGTCAAGGCATCTAAGAAAAGAAGGGTTTCCCGACTTGACAGGAGCCATTTGGCAGCGATGTTATAGCGTTCTATAGTAGCCTAATGCACTTGATCGGGTCAATTTCGGATGAGTTGAACACTAACAGACGCTGCTCTGTGGCTGGGTAGCTCGACATTTTTAGTGCGGATCTACGCAACCGACCTTAAAAGATTCTAAACTTTTCTTTCATTTTCAACATATTCTCCTCTGTTACGACGTCGGCTTATTTGCTCATATGACGCATGAATCCCAAGATACAGCCAGTGATTGAAACAGAGCAATTAAATGAGTGCCTATTCAGAGCTCGAGACCGAGCGCTCACCGCCGAATGACAAGTCGCAGAATGGCCGGACGACGATTCATCGGACAAGAACCGGATGCCGCACTTGTCGCAATAGGAGGGTGAGCTCCAGCGAAGCCTTTATATTCCTTGATATATGGAATGAAAACCACAAAGACAGTCTGGGTGTTTAATCAATTGCCAAATAGGTCAAATGCGACGAGGACAAGCCCGTATGTGCACAATGCCGTAGAGGAGAGCGGAACTGCATATGGCCAAGGCTAGATGAGCCAAGAGCTCCGAGGCTCTCGAGAAGACCCAACGCAACAGCTTGCGTTGCATGCCGAGAGAAAAAGGCAAGCGCGTTTCCCCATTGATCTTCTCGTTTGCTTTTTAAACTATCAATTCTTGTCTTTCATATATTATTGGACCTAACACTTTCCATGTCCTCTAGCTCAAATGTGTGGGAAATGTGCAAGCTGTCTGTGACAGGTGCAGAAGTATGGACATTGAATGCGTGCGGCCTGCGCATCGAGTTGCAGCAGCACCAGGGATATACCCAGCAAGGCCTACGACGGTAGAGGCTACTCAACTGCACCCAGATATTGCGCCGTTCATAATGCCCGCCCCAATCCTGCACATAGCCGAGTCTGAAACCGAGCAAGACTCATCACATTTCAGCCCGGAGCACAGCGAGGAGACAAGGCCTGAGTCTATGCTACCGGCTCATAGCACAAAACCTTTAGAACGAGTCAGCTTAGGACAACTCCCGACCGGCAAAGAACTGGAGGAGTTAGTGCGCCTATACTTCTCGTCCGTACATCGTGAGTGCTAAGGCCCTTGGGTCATCCCTTCAAGAGCAAGTAGAGCAATATCAAGCTAAGATAAGCTCACTGTTGATAGACTTTGGCTACTACGCCTTCATTCACCAATTCCACTTCAATCGTCTTCTAGCAAAGGGCAAGGCCCCTCGCGAATTGACACTCATGATGATAGCAAGTGCTTTGCGGCAAGTCGTATTCTGGCGTTTCTCTTCATTCACATACATTTACTAACGATGGCATATAGCTTTGCTGCCGAGGCCACATTGGACAACCTGGCTCGAGCAGACGCCTGGGCTGACATGGCCATTGAGACTGTCCTTCCGCGGATATATCAAGGTTTCGGGGCAATACAGCTGTTGGTTCGTACATGCACTGTGCCGTATCACCTACCTGTGCTTGAGAAACTGATGCATTCCTCAGACACTTCTTCTAGCACAACATTACGACTTGAATCGCGGGAACTTCACATCTGCCTGGTTATTAGGTGCCAATTGCACCAGGTAAGAAACATTTACTGTCGTGGTCTTTATTCCTGCTCTGGAATGTGCTGACGATCACCCTAGGATGATGCAAATGATGTCTTTACAAACATTTGACAGAACATACCCTGCAGACCCTGCACACAATTTACAACTCTCGCCCCTCCTGTCGTATGAGGCTCTACGTCGTGTTGCCTGGTCGACATTCTATGCTGACACTATTGTCGATGGCGGACGTTACGGCTTCCATATTGTCGATGAGAAATCTTATCGTCTCCAACTGCCATGTGACGAAGCGAGCTTTCTGAGCAACGAAACAGTTATCACCGAGCCGCTGATTGACGATTCCAGTGCTGGTGCGAGCATGAATGCCGAAAATAACCCGCGATCAGCTCTAGATATGTCCGCATACCTCCTTCGAGCGGCGGCAGCCCGCCGCCGCGCGCTTCATTTTGCTTTTCGCGCCTCGCACAGAGAACAGACAGCGGAACAGCTTTCAATCGAACTTGGAGCTCTTGAGGCCGATATGGAACAAGTAATCAACGCTTTACCACGCCGATTCTACTTTAACTCCGACAACATGTTTCTCCATCGCGATCGCCTTATCACTTTTCTCCTCCTGCACATTCTGCGCCACAATCTCTTCATTGTAGTTGGCCGAGCTGCCTTGCAAGTCTACCAACGGAACGCTGCCAAAGCAGACCTGATACCACAAATTCGCAGAAACCGAATCTCACATGCCTTGCCAATTGCTGGACTTGTAGCGGAGGGACTTAAAGCAGGCATCAGCTTTGATCCTCAAATTGGCGTGCATGCTTACGTCGCGCTCGAGAGTTAGAAGCCCATTTCAATCAAGACTACCACATTCATCTGAGAATTATGCTAACTCTGAAAGTTCTGCTTTTTGAGCCTCGTCGCCTGGCAGAGACAGACTCGTTGTTTGACCCCAGAGCGCCAGAGCTGATAAATATGATACCTCACCTGCTTGCTGTGATCCGGGAGATCGCTGATCGTTCTGAATTCGTCAAGCAACTTGTAAGTGCGTGTATTGGAAGTTCGTTCATAGCTGACGATATACATAGCATATCGAAGCCGTACACCGGCTCCTACGATGCGATTGTACAGACCTTCTCAATCAAGCTGACTTTGACGCATTCCGAAGGTTTGTGGACTTTTTGTTTGAGATATCTTCATTCATCTCGCAGTGGACTGATTAACTGGTGTTTGCAGCGAATATCGTTTAGTAGGACAAGATGCTGCAGAGTACGACTTTCGGGATTTTCGATGGGCTAAGCTGGAGCGTATACGTCGAGGCGCGAGGTCATCTGCCAATATGGCACGCGATGAAGCCTTGCTGGAATACAGAGTTGGTGGAGAGACAGCTGCGCCTTCGGTAGCTCCATCACCAAGGCTTGACGCGATCGATGTGAATAAGACTCTTAGATTACAACCCGACATACTTCAACACTCCATGACCCCCATCTCGCCAACCAGGGGACTACAAATCCCAGAGACGACAGACGGTATGGGGGAACTCGGCTTGGAAATGGGACAATCAGCTTCTCAACCTTGGTGGGGACTCGCTGAGCCAACTGATCCAAACCAAGACCTTTCGCTGAATTGGTCGTGGCTTGTGGATGAGTCAGGGCACCCGGGATACCAGACAGGAGATCCAACCACGTTCTGGAATCAACTGCAGCAGATATAATTCATTGCGCCTGTATTGCTGGTCTGGTCCTTGTTTCGGCCGGCTGGGGAGCAGCCAAAACAGCTCCAGACAACTTGTGGCCAACATCGAAGACTCCCAAACAACTCCAGAGCCAACAGGCCTCGGGGCAACCCGTGGCTCGACAGCTATAAAGTGTGCCTCCTTGGAGCAACATCTACACAGTAACAGCATCGGACTCAAACAATCAATCTCGCCTTTCATTGCATCAGCAACAATCAAGCGTTCAGAGCCGGCCCACCCAACAACACCACCCCAAGTTTTTCGATAGCGCAAGTGCAGCGTTGCTTTCTGCGTTAGTCGTTCGTATTCATCATCGGCAAACGTGTACAAGTCATTCGACTATCCAACATCGTAAGGAGGCAGGCAGTCATCCCCGGTTTCTGAGCCCGGTCTAATTTGTGATATCCTGTTAGTCAAGAAATGTGTACGTCCAAGTATATTAAATACACATGCGGCTGCAAGAAGGAGATGGAGTTCATCCAGTGCCCGGAGCGCCAGGGAACCAACGTCAAATGCAATCCAGTTAGAAAAGAATGGGGCAAGGATTCGACCAACTACTGTTCAAGGCACTTAGTCAAGCCAGACGCGCCAGTGAAATACACGGACCAAAATGGAGACATTTTGGAAGAGTAAAGCACGGCTTGTGAACTGTGGAGCTGCATTGAGATGGTGACTTGTACGTTGGGAAGTCTGGGAATTTGTCCGCTTTCTGGGTGCTTTCTATTTGGACACTTTGTAGGCAGCCTGGCCGCAATACATTGGCGAACATTTCCAACATCCTTGTCATTCTCTATTGTTGAAGTAGCCTCCTCTCCGAGCAGCCTCCGGTAGCTCGGTTGGCTGGTTGTTACCTTCGCCACTCGATCTCCACAGGAGCTGTGCCTGTTCACACCATCGAAAATGTTCCAAAAAGCCATCTTGTGCATATACCTTGTCGCGAGCCTCAAATGCCCATCTCTCGCCCCTAGAGCCGATAATGTCCTTTTCGAGAGCGAGTTGACACCCAGCACACGAGATTCCATATTCGACTCTACCGGTTCGGCTATCATAATAAGGAAGTGCACACGACCCCATAAAGTTGAATTTCTGATTTCGTCCCGAACTTGGCTGTACCTGCGCTAGTGTATGCGGTTGCTGTCCGGAAACCAATATGGCCTGATGAACAGAAACGACTGTAATACGAGATTTGTTTACAGATTCCTTCATCGAATATATTCCAGGCAAAGTCTTGAATGACTTTAGTTGGTTTAATTCAGTCTTGCTTAAGTGGAATTGCTTCCGGACAGTGGCAAGAGTTTGCACTTGAGTTTCCAAAGCCTCTTGAAGACATATAAAACAGCATCGATTCCAGGTTAGGAGGGATATAAATCCGCCAAATTCGCTGCAAAAGGTACAAGCCTTGGTACATAGTATATAGTAAAAGTCGGATAGAGAAACGCTGATGGCAAGTCGTGTTCGTAACAAGGCACAGAGAAGGTTTAGTCCATGTAAGGCCACCATCTGATATTGCTTGAGAGAGTCTACCGTCTGTCTCGATCTAAGATTTGTTTGTCGAAAGTTGAACAGAGAATATATGTCCAGACGTAATAATATGTCATGTAAGAGCTCGAGGGGTAGCCGATCGAGAAAGCCGAGTCCCATATTAGAAGCCCGCCGGAAAGGTGTTGCTATCGACGAACGAATAGAGACGTGTTCGCGAGGCGAGAACCATATTACGGAGCGACAGTAGTCTTTGCGATGGTAGGCGGTAGCTCGAACAATGGCATCGGTCTGTTCCTCGCGGAAACGGTATTCAGTGACGGAGCGATATCCGCGAGGCATAAGAGCAGCCATTCTCGACGTTGATAGGTAGGTACGCTTGAGTGAAAGAGGCGTGGATCTCAGTAGGCGTCGTTGGTGACGATCTCGATGATGGGGATGCCTCGGGCCCAGCGCCAGCGGCACAAATTTCTTGCGTGCAGACGCGAGTGTTGTGCGGCAATTCGTGACATTGAAAGGGTGAGATCGACAGCGAAAGCGGAGGGGCAGAAACGAGTAACAGTTATGTGAAGTCAAGAGTACAAGAAGGGACGTCGGGGTCGGGGTCAGCAGGGCTCTATTGATGCTGCAGCGCGACACAACGCGTTGGGGCGCGGCGGGCGACCGTTGGTCAAAAGTGGCGCGAGTGTGGGGCCTGAGCGCGAGGGGTTATACTATAAAGAACGTACGTCGGCCTCGACACGAGAATGGGCATGATCCAGATATGGAGCTGCAGGAAGTTAACACGGCCGTCCAATTTTCAACCACAATGACCTGACTGGATGAATGAAGACAAAAAGAGGTTGAAAAAAAGGCGAGCAGAAGGTGTGAACGTGGTGGTAGTTGGTGTCTGCTGACTAACGTTACTGGGTGTCAAGTGTGAATTACACTGCCAGACTGCGTTGGACCCCGTGATCCCTTGTATGGAAGGCGATAAGGCGAACTGTGCCAACCTCTTTGTTTTCTCAGGTTTTTACTAGAGTCACAGCATCATTTGATCGAAAATAATTCAACAAACCCTCTTATCATCAATACTATAGCTAGCAGCATCTACAATACCTACAGTACCTACAGGATCTATAGTATCTATAATACTTATAATATCTATAATACTTATCTATCTATATATATACTATATTGACTTCTGTCAGGGGTCAGGGAGCTTATCACTAGGTTTAGCGGGGCTCTCTTTGTCACACCAGATTATCAAGGGCCATGGACTGGCATAGCGCTTCGGTAACATGGCACCCAACTGGAAGATCCTGTCATCTTTAACGTCGTGTCCAAGTATGACCTGCGAAGAGGCAAACAGAAAGGTGCTCAACGGCATCACCGGTCCACTTGAGTGGATAGTCCTATCACACAGCCGGTTAGCTAACAGCTTTGGAACAGCAACGGAACGCAAGCTGATCAGTACGATGGCCGTGGCTTGTGGATGACTCAGGGCACCCCGGATACCAGACAGGAGATCCAACCACGGTCTAGAATCAACTGCAGCAGATATAATTCTTTGCAGAAAACCCATGACGAGTCAGTCCCGTGTATCCTATGCTGCGTCATCGGGGCTCTGCTGCACCCTCCAGGGCATCTGTAGATCGAACGTGTTGGACAGCCTGATTGATAAGAATGAACTGATCAACTTGTGCGGGATATTTCTGAGTCTACGGACATCTTAGAAAAATATTCTTGTATCGACGGTGCCCATCCCTTTGCGATTATGTTACAGTGATACGCCAACATCGTCGTCGCATTACGTTAACGAAGTAAAGCTCGTGGACCTCAATTCTCAGTTTAACCCACTAGTGATGCAGCATAGCATCCGCTGAGGCTACCTGTTTCCGTTGCATTCTATTCTGATGCCGTGATAGCTCAACAAAGAGGCGAATATGCGATGTGGGTGAAGAATCGCTACCTTGAGCCAAACACAACGCACCTCGACCCCTGATTATTAATCAGTTTTGTGCAAAATGATCAGTCAACACACCTGCCACCAGGGGTTCCTTGATGCCCGTGGACGTCGATGCGCATCCAATTTGATATCCGGGGAATGTTTTTTTAATGATCATAGACACCTCGGCGATGAAACCAAAGCAAACTGTTTTCCATAGCTTCTAGCGTATGTAATTAGCAACAGCAATGCATTGCCGATCAAAATGCGCCGTTAGATCTAGTGCTAATGGATTCAAAACATCACCACTGGAAATATGGATCAGTAATTCGTCGGAGAGAAGACGTGCTGCTCAGTAACGGCATAGAACATAATCATTATTTAAGACGACACGACGACACATTCAAACAACGACTTACTAAAATACCAACGCATTCAAACTCTATATAATTGACTGCAACATTTGAAAAGAACATACAATATTTCGTCACAACTTACATTCGCAACCCATGAAGACAATTCTGATTATCGGAGCCACTGGCGCTCAAGGTGGTGCTATCGTTAAATATCTTTCTTCTACCGGCAATTATCACATAGTCGCCTTGACACGTAGCACTACATCGTCTCAAGCATTCGCACTAGCTGCATTGCCGAATGTCGACCTTCTACTTAGCCAGGTGCAAACTGGCTATGATACAGAAGTATTCCTTACTGCCGCGAAGTCGGCAGACTTTGTGCTCGTGAACACTGACGGGTTTGCAATTGGCGAGCTAGCAGAGACGTACTGGGGAATCAGGCTCTTTGAGCTAGCAGCGCTGGCTGGTGTCAAGCACTTCATATACAGTGGCCTTGACTCCAATGGAAAGAAGTCTGGATATGACCCTAAGCTATATGTCGGTCATTACGAAGGCAAAGCGAGAGTTCAAGGTAAGTCGAAGCGTAGTCCGAGTCAGGCGACGATTGACTGATTGACTTCAAAAGAATGGATCCATTCCCAGAAGGATTCTCAGATGACATGGACAATCATCCGATCTGGCCCGTACATGGAGCTCCTATCCGCCATTATGGCACCTTCAGAAGCCAGCGATGGGACCATGATATTCCAGCTACCGCTTGATGATGGAGCGATTCCATTTATTCACCTCGGTGATTTCGGTAGATACGTGGACTGGGCCCTCTCTAATCCAGACCAGTCTGGTAAACTCGATTTCGGTATTGCGACGGCACATATTTCAGGTGAAGAAATTGCCAAGGCCTTTTCTCAACATAGTGGCAAGACAGCAAAGTATGTCAGCATTCCTAACGAGGCATGGAATGCAGTGGCATGGAAGTCTCTGCCCAAGGGGAGAGATACGAAGATCGGATTTCAAACTTATAAAGACGACAACCTTGTGGGTATGAGCTACGGCGATAACTTCGCAAATTGGTGGAATCTTTACAAGGCGACTGCGAAAAACCAAGGGTTAATCCAGAGAGATTACGCATTTCTTGACAAGATTTTGCCAGACCGCGTGAAGAGCCTGGGAGAGTGGATGGAAAAGGTGGGGTACCAGGGAGTGAAGGAGGATGTCCTCAATTTGCAGGCAACTACCGAGTAGAGTCAGGAAACAAGGTGTTTCTATGTGTTTTAGCGGACACATGTATTAATGTCACCTAGTCGGTCTTTAAATAACTTCGAGATTCTAGTATGGACAGTAATGAATTATTGCGCTTGATGGAAGGACTGTCTGTTTGACAAGAAGAACATGTTCTTGCTCCTATTTTCGGACAACGTGTTCAATCGTCCTAAGTTTGTTGCCTCGAACCTTTTTCTTCTTTTCTCTAATTTGACAACAACGGAAGCAGAGCGGTAGTGAGGATCCTACTCGCTGTGGAACCCATTACTACACTCAGGAAACAACAGAGGAAATGCTTATGGAACGCCTAAAACCCATGAACTTGAAGCCTGCACCGGGATATGGACAGACAGTGAAAATCAGAAACACCATACCTTCACTTAAACGTCGTTTCCGTGAACATCCGTTGATGCTATAACAGGTTATATCGAAATTTCAGGAGTCCAAGCTTCTCTGAAAGGAGTTATCTGGGTCACTCTTCAATCTCGACCCAAGGAATCCCCCCACAAAGTGCCATGCCCTACCTATTTAGAGTGTCAAAATTCACCGTCGAAAGTAATTCCCTCACCTGCCTCACTTGGCATAGCCAGTTTTCTGTTATAGAGAAGGTCGAGAGAGATAGATCATGGATCTCGTACTCGTTAGTTTGATCATCCTATCTAGCTTGGGGCCAGTATCGGGCATTAACCCCCATATAAATGTACAAAGTATATGCTAATGCAGACTTGACTTTTTCTTTGACTGGCCTGCAGGATGGAGAAGCGTCTATGCGTCATTCAAGATGTGATAAGAATGTCGAGAATACTTGTCTGGATGATCGGTGGATCGTACATGAGCCTCGTGATATCGTCTGGGATGAGCTGGTTGAGAGTGCGCATCTAAGCACGCGAGGTTGGACACTCCAAGAATACTTACTATCCCTTCGGATTATTCACCTAGGTGGTAAGCAAATGGCCTCGGAATGCCGAACTGCCGAATCAATGGAGCCATATTCAGTCTTCTCCACGTCCTCAAGCGGCAGCGGAATTACCCGACTTTGGGAGACGGTCAGCGCTTAAAATAAACTAGATTACCGGAGCCATCCCATTGAAGAGTATGCTCGAAGAGACTTAGACAATCTACAAGATATACTTCGAGCTATTGATGGTATAGCATCTACTATGAGAGGTGGAGATTCTGCCGAGTACTTGAGTGGGGTGTGGAGGCAGACGCTGGTGAATTACCCTGGAGAGAGTTTCGCGCCAATTTGGGCTTCTTCACATGGACCGGTCCAATTTCCTCCAACTACTCACAATTTTGGGCGAGAGCCTAGTCTAAGCATAGGTGGAGCGACAGGAACAGGGTATATTCCGCTCATAGAGCTTATAGTAGCACTTCCGGAAAATCGTTCGGCTACACTCGAAAGTCGTCTCGATGAGCCGAGTCTTTTTAGTGCTATCGTGCTTGAGGGATGGGCTTGTGCCTTGGGGTTCTCTAAAGTCAACCGGAAGGCACTTTAAAAAACGTGTCCTTATGCTCTGAACTTGTTGACGGGCAAGCATTCGTAGTAACAGGGCTTTTGGATACATACATTCCACATTCAGCCTTGTGGGCAATTGGTCGCAACGAGAAAGCGATAATTTGTATCTACTATAAGATCTCATGCCGACGTCTTTGGTATCGTTTTATTCACTATTGCAGACGATCCCAGGTACACATTCGCATAGGATCTCTCAAACTCGAGGGGCGCGCCAATAAGATACTACTGAAACTAAGCGCCTCTCAGATTAACCCGGGCCGATTTTTTCAGCTCTATCCAGGTTGTCAGCTTCATGCACTGTAACCCAAACATCTGACAGTTTTGAGGGATAATGGAGGACGCCGCCTCAGGTAAAACATCAAATGACGATTCAAGTATGCCTACTCCGCCCACGGACTTTCGAGAAACAATCTTTGATACTTGGAGACGATAGTGATGTCGGCTTCCTTTTACAGTTGATTCAGTCCAACTGCCTATGACTATAGATTTATATGTTTTGCACAAATTCTTTCAGATAGAGCTTTATGCGAAAACGTCAGAAGACATGATGTCCCAGAACCGGCTTCCGCCAAGGCTTTTGTTCAAACTTTTCTCAGTCCGAGAAAACCAATTGGGACACTCTTACATGCGACGCCTTTAAACAAGTCAGCACTAATTCCCACGCAGGAGCAACATGCCAGTTTCTATACCCAATAACGGTCGAAACGGAACCCGAAGCGGGGCCTTTTCTAAGAATCTTTCAACAGCTCGAGCGTGATCAGATGGCCCGCAAATTTATAATGAGAGCCTTTTCCCTTACAGTCTTCGGAGATTCCTCGTTTGCGATGCCCCTACCAAAGCCATATCACCCTTTACGATTATTCCTCTTTGGTATTCGAACTTCGCCGGTTGAGCTGCCAGTAGCAGATCTCCGTAGACTCAAGCCTCTAGATTTGCAGTGTAACATGTCGACGAAGGGTAAGTCCCTCAATTGTTTCAAAGACAAGGCTAAAGTTCTTTTCACCAGCCCCCGACGCTTGGTCCAAGCTCGCTCCGACATGGAGAAGCCAGGCTGTGAGCGTTTTACAGCAAAGTGGTATTGACTCAGCACGACAATTGATCTCTGAGGTGAACAAAATTGCACCTTTTGCGAAGGCCGAAGCCATACACGACATCGGCTGCGGCAATGGTACAGTGATTAGCGAACTCCTCAAAGAATATGGCTCCGACCTTCCCGACTCAACCCAAATTGTCGCCTCCGATAAATCCACAAGTATGATTGCTGAAGCCGAAGAACAACAGAAGCATTTTGTTCAAGAAGGCAACAAAGTGTGGTCTAAACTGACCATAAAAATACTTGACGCAGCTGATATGCACGAAGTTGAGGATGAGACTTTCACGCATATCCTTGGTGGCAACATGATGTATGCTGTCTCCGATTATGAAAAGGTCGTCTCAGAAGTTAAGAGGACGTTGACATCGGGTGGTGTTTTTGCCTACAGCGTGAACGCTGACGCACCTTGGATTAAGCTCATGGGCCTAGTTGCCCAGGTTCGCCCAGACAAGGTTACGCCATACCCCCCCGCCATCTGGCACACTGAAGAATCATGTGTGAGTATTCTTGAGAAAGCGGGATTTACAGAGGTAGTTGGCAAAACGATTCCCATTTATATGCAATACGATAGTCCTGAAGATATCGTCGAATATTTAACAGAGGCATTACCATGGTAAGCAATCCATTCATATTCTGATCGCTTCCTGTGATCAAGGAAATTGATTGTCATCAATTCCGCCAAATGAGCTGGCTCGCGAATTCGGGGAAATATTTTGTTCCCCTATTCTCTTGTTCGGAGCTTTAGAACAGGATGCTAACCATTATGATGCAGGATGGGGAGAATTCGAGATGGAATGACAGACGAGGAGATCAAGAGGAGCAAGGAGATTATGGCTGATCACCTTAGAAAGGAGGGTGCCACCAACTCCATGGAAGGAAAAGCTGTTTTTGCCATTGGAAAGAAGTGATAAACAATGTGTAGCTAATCGTGGGTAACAATTAAAACCTTGACGCAACGCGGTTTTATTGAGAACGTCAAGTGCACTTCAGTTGGTACCTGGAGAATGTACTGCGAGGCATGTCACGTTTTGGGCTACTTTTGTTTGGCCATTTGACTGTTAAGAGTTGACCTCTATCACTCGCGCAGATGAGCTTACGGCCTAATTCAGTCGTTTGACCTCGCAGCTTGAACGAACTCACTGCGTGTACACGACAAGAACTTCTTGGACTCCATGCATCAACCACAGCGCGGAGGACAACTCGTCTTGAATATAACAATAGGGACTAGCTCGGTCGCCACAATATCCTGAGATTTGTTTGTGACATAGACGTGTACAGATGATGTAAAGATTAGAGAGCGAGTTCTGAATTACCGCGCTATACAATCCTACTGTGGCGACAGCGCCTTGTCTAAGACACAGCTTCCCAATTGATTGTGCAAGAAGTCAATCCATGGGCATGCCTTCAGCCCTATCCGTAGCTCACTCCAACTGCGCACTTCACACAGTTCAACATTGACTCGGACCCAAGGTATTAGCCAGGTATCATCCTCCGAGGTAAAAGTTGATATGGAGCCAATGATGAGGAGCCATAAGAGAATCTGCGGTGGCATTGTGCTCGGCATCTTGAAGTTGAAAAGGCAGCTCCGATAGATGTGTGGAAGCTGCGTATGGCGAGGCTTCACGTCCTGCCAATTGAGAAATATGTGAGACGAGAAGACAAGGAGACCGAGCCGAAGAGCTTCATTGATAGATGTGGGATTGAAGCTTCGCATATGGAGTAGACGATACATGACTGACGCTATGGAGTTGAGTAGCGCTTCTTTGGGAAGCTGATGTTTGTGCTCAGCAACATGATTCATCGTTGAGCAAAATCGCCTGGTATATGTCCATGCCTCTATGAGGTTTACATCAAGGTCCAGCTCGATTTGAAACCTTTCAATCTCGGCTGCTGGACGTTGTGGTTCGTATCCTGCCAAAATATCCAAGTCATAAGGCATTAAGGGCTCTGATGATGGGTCATTAAAAAATAAAGGCACGGTGCCATTGGCGAGTGCTATCCCTAAGTCGCATCTGAGAAGCAGTCAGAATCATGATTAAAAGTTAGCCGATGAAATGAAGGAATCAAGCTTTCTTACTTGAGCAGTTCTATGATCATTTTGGTGTTATAGCTGAAAGTGGCCAAGCCACCCCTTAAGTCAACAATCTTTCGCAGTCCCAACAAGTGATGTTTTGCGGTATCGTAGTCAAGCATAAAATGGGCATGCAAAGCCAAGTATAAGACAATGAGTACCGTTGAATCTGAAACAATACCCTGGTTATCTACGATTGATAATCTTTCTTGGAGTAAACACAGCGCTGCGGAATGGTGAAATATTGCTCCCCTGGCTGCCACATGACTCTCCTTAGAGGTTACGCAAAAACTGTAAGCCTGGGATGCGAAGACTGCCGCGTGCATATAGGCAGCATCAGAAGTTAAGAGCTCGATCCAAGACGTGTCGACTTTGGACTGTCTGTGGAAAACAATGTACCTCTCTAGGGGGTACATAACTCTCTTTGCAATGAAGGTGACTAATTCTCGTGAGCAAGGGGTGATCAAATTGCGGAGTTAAGGCTTGGCAGTGAAGCAATCGCTTACATCGCAGCAGGTCGTGTAGCAAAGGAGGTTCCACAGCAACAGCGAAATGGGTGAAAGATAGGTCTGAACCTACTCTATTGGGGATCAAAGAGTAGCGCAGTTTGATTGATAAGCCTGGAGTGCCATCATCATAGCCCCAGTTGGAGCTGCCAGAAGTACTAGGCTTCTCCGTTTTGACGGGCTTGACCTTTCGGCTTTTACCTCGGTTCTTCCCTAACATTACATGCTTTCTTATGAGCTTGCGCTTCGCTGGTTCGGTTTTGCCAAGACTGTCCGTGAATATGAACGGCATTTCGGCTACTCGGCATTTATCAGTCGACATATCCCATGTTAGAGTGCTCGGGTTGCTCTGTGGTGTACTCACTGGACGATTTGTTGCTTCTGTGACGAGGCGTAGCCATGATTTGATAGGTCGAGAGAACACGGAAACATCACAACGCCTGCCACTGCTTCTGTATAGTATAGTAGCTTTGAATGAGTGATTTCCCTAGATTATGCACATAGCGAAATAGCTGTCTTCTTTTGGGAAGGTCGACCGATGCGACGCCATGTAGATAGATCTAGGCATCACAGAGAGGCGTAAATTTGATAATCGAGATGCGAGTCAAAGCGCACGTTAACTTCGACATGACGTAAGCTAAAAAACACAAAGCGTTGCCTATTTCAGTAAGGTGAGAATCCAACTTGCGATTGTCATTGGCTAAGATGACAGCGACGCTAATGCAAGATATTGATTTCCGAATGCAGTTTAAACTGATTTGTCTCCTGATATTGTCCCTTCGCCTGCGACGAGTCCATCAATAGGTGGATGTACAGTATGACCGAGTCGAGAACATACCTAGATATATAATCACAGAGACACAAGATCAAGCATATGCGAGTTTTCTTGTCTGTCTTTTTTCAATTCATGTTTTGCGACTAGTATAATTCTCCTCCGCTCGCTCTCTTTGTATCCCTCGCCCGGCATGCAGTCCTCCAAGAATCTGACCCCAGACACCAGCCCATTCTTTCCAAACCATTTTATCAAAAACCAATTCCGGACCAAGCACCAATTTCCACCCAAGGATACTGATCTCTGCGGCAAAGTCATCATCATAACGGGTTCCAACAGTGGCCTCGGGTTAGAATGCGCCAATCAAATGCTCTCTTACAAGCTCTCTCGGCTGATTATGGCTGTCCGTTCCACGACCAAGGGCGAAGATGCTGCCTCCAAGCTTCGAAAGCAGTATCCGAACGCTGAGATCAATGTGTGGCAGCTTGATATGTCTTCATATGACTCGATCCGCGGTTTCGTGGCACGAGTCGAGAAGGACCTTCACCGCCTTGACGTTGCCATTTTGAATGCCGGGTTGGGATTTGGCCACTTTAAGATCATACCCGCTACTGGCCATGAAGAGACGGTACAGGTTAACTATCTCTCTACCATGCTCTTGACCATCTTGTTGCTTCCTATTTTAAAGAGCAAATCTCCGGCCGGCTCGCCTGGGAGATTGACAATCAGCACAGCTATGCTCTCAATTGCTGCCAAGTTTGCCAATAAGAACGAAATCCCGCTTCTACCTTCATTTGATGATGAGAAGTTCTTTGACTCTCGCGATGTTTACTCAACCTCAAAGTTACTAGGTCAAATGTTCGTGTGGAAGCTGACGGACGTTGTGTCTGCCAACGACGTTGTCGTAAATCTAGTTGAGCCTGGATTCATCAAAGGCACGGCACTTCACAGTGATAGACCTGTTGCCACAAAGGTTTTCATGGGCTTGTTCATGGCTGCAGCTGCCCGACCTGTCCAAGTCGGTGCATCGACTTATATCGATGCATCAATCCTTAAGGGTGAGGAGTCTCACGGATGTATTCTAATGAACTGGGAGATCTCGCCGTGAGTTACCTAGCTCTTTCCTTTTCTTCATGTCGATTTACTTATTGCTGCATTCCAATAGATACGCCCCAATCCAGTACACACCAGAGGGCAAGACTATCATGGACAGACTTTGGCAGGAGACTTTGAGCGAGTTTAGTTTCGTTGATGTCAACGGACTTCTCAAGTCATTATAATTGTTGGCTGATTTGATCACGCAAATCAAACCTGTTCCACTATTGATAGTTGCTATTTGTCTAGCTACATTGGAAATGACACTGAGACGACTAGGCATGTGCCGGCTTCCGCGAAACTTAGTCTAGAGGTAGAACTGAATTTGAACAATGAACATGGGTTCTTTCAAAGATCAATTGCAGTGTCAAAACAACATTTATCATCTAATATTTGCGGGGTCCCAACGGTAGGGGTCCATCCACTGAGCACTAAATTAACCCCTGTTGAATATGCCTTCAGCGCGCTAAACCCCAAAGCTGCTTGAAACAAAGCTGAAACTCGCATCGCCGCTGACAAGGAAATCCTTCAGGATCTGGGAGCTACCCTGTCTTTGCTAAGCAATGGTAGGGTTCTCTAGCACCCATGGGCGATTTGCGATGAACGATACTCACATCATGACTATCGCTTGGCTCTTGGCCTCATGCTTGGATGATTCAGTTTTTTCTTGGTATTTTTGATTGCTTGTGTGATTGAACGGCCACCATGCTCTGCCAAGGCCACTCGCCGGTGGTGGTCTTCATGGCCGCGTCTCTTCTTATCATCTTTTGGAGTTTTAGGCTTTTTGACGTCCCTCATGCAGTCTTGCGTCTATTCTACGAGGGCGCAAGCCCACAGCAACTGGAAGAGAGCGAGTTCATCCGACGCGCGATGAACGTCGAGTTTCCGACTCCAATTGACTACAGACCTATTCGGGAAGCATGTGCTCGAACACAGTTCCAGCCTGGTCTGCTATTTAGCTGCCAAGGCCAGCATGGCGGTATTGGAATGGTCCGGAACCAGATCTTAAAATGCGTACGATATGCGATACATGGCGGTGGCGCGATTGTCGTACCTTCGATGGCCCTACGAAACGCAAGCGACATAACCGACATTGAAACGTCCACCGAGGTTCCGCTCGACTACCTACTGGACCGCGATACCTTCACGAAGCACTTGTCAGAAGGGTGTCCCGGCATGCGCATCTATGAGCGCGCAGAGGACTTTCCGTTCTACGAACAGCGGGAATGGGAGCCACTAAGTCTGGTCGGGGACCAATTCGAACCAGACCACCCGCCGGAGGGATTGAAGTACCCGCGCGAATGGCGTCACTTTTTCGACGACTGGCTTGGCCAGCAATCCGTGCAGATACGACCTGAAACCCCAGTACACATCAAAATCGAGCAGTCATTCCTCGAGTACCCCGTACGCGACGATGGTGACGCGTTTGTGCGCGAATTCGGCAAGATCCTGTCCTTCCGGAATGATACACGTGCCCTGGCCGCCAAGGTTCTGTTTGAGCTAAATAAGAAGTTCGAGCTATCGATAAATCCGACAAAGGCCATCAATCCGGGTGCCTTCTACGGCGCCCACCTGCGACTTGAAGATGATGCTACCTGGGCATGGTCTCCAGATGAGTGGCGATTCTCGCGGATGAAAGACCAGTTCGAGGAACAATTTCGAAATGTGGCACGTGCGAATCTTAACGTGGTGTACGCTGCGTCGGGGAACCAGACTGTGGTGGAATTGTTTGCTGAGGGCCTTCGCAAGTATCTCGCAGCCAACTTGGGTGAGGAGGAGAGGAACGTGACGGTGGTCACTAAGCACGACTTGCTGCAAGGGTCAGACCGGCAGAAACTTGACAGTCTTACATTTGATCAGCATGCCTTGGTGGACTTTTTAGTTCTGTTCAAAGCGAGCGCATTTATGGGAGTTGCGCACTCCAGTTTTCCGTGGAACATTGCACTACGGAGACATGAGCTCAGCAGATACGCGAAGTACGGTAACGAAGGATCGGATTTACTAAGGGACGAATATAGCGTCATCATGGGAATGGAAGCAGATTACCCACACGTCGATCCGTTTGTCTACGGGCTATGGCCGTAGGCCACATGCGGTCCTCTGATAGGTTAGAGATTCCTATGTTTGAATTGACGGCGTTTAAGGAGTTTGGAGGGAAAAGGGATAGCATCACAAGAGCATATCGTATATATTCACATTTTCAAACTTGCATCGAGGGTCGTGTCAATTCATATACCTCCCATTGTTGTTCTTGCACATAATCTAATTTAGTCACATTATCACACAGCGCAACTTGCTTAAGCCCGTCTTTCTCTTGAAACGAGTCGATAGGGCTTGAAAATGTCAGGTACTAGACCTGGAGCAAGTTCAATTAAACGGCCTTCGTCTCCGTTACTTCCGTTTCCCTTGACTTGCCAAGCTCATTGTCTGAAACTGGCTTCTCCCCATGATAGACCTCGATGATGTTGTCGATCTGGTCGCGGGGAACTCCTTGGAACCGTTGATCAATTTGTTCAAGAGTCAACCCTTTCGTTTCCAAGTAAGTAAAAGCAATGGCAAGAGCCACGAAAGTGTTCCAACACACTCCGACGATGTAGAACCTGGATTATAGGCAACCTCATTAGCTTTATTCGTGTTTTTAGATAATTCGTTAGAATTCTTACCGCCATTTGATGCTGGCAAGTCCAATGGGAATAACATATTGATTGAAAAACCCCGCTGATGATGTAAAGATATTGTAGAAACTGCGCCCAATTTCAGACGGTTAGTTACTGGCTTAGAAGACTTGATGGTCTAGAGGTGCTTAGAATACGTACGCCATGCCCTTCGCACGAATAGTGAAATTAAGAACTTCCGCGCAATATGAGAAAGATAGAGGTGTCCATGTGGATGAATACCCAACTTGGAACAGGAAGACCATAGCAATAATACCATTTCTCCCGTTCTCATTACCAGTCTGCTCTGCAGTTAGGCCTGCCATACAAGCAAGGACTGCAGCGCAAAATGCGGTTCCGCAAACCAACATCGGAATTCTACCAATCTTATCGATGAGGCAAATGCCAATTAGAGCAGAAGTGAAGGCCACGCAATTCTGGCCGATGTTGATCGCAAATTGCTGCTTCTCAGATGTAATGCCAGCCAGGTTTAGGACGCTGGACAGATAGAACGTAATGATACTTGAGCCGATAGTCTGTTCGAAGATGCCAAGAGTAACCAGGATGTAACCGCGGTACAAATTCGACTTAACCCCAGTGAAGGCTTTCCACCAGGCCCTGAATGACTCGAATTTGTTTTCTTGCTCGAAGTAGATCTTCTCCTTGATCTCTCGAAATTGGGCAACTACCATTGGATGTGCTTCATCGCCACCTCCGTGAAACTTGGCAAGCACCTGGAGGGCTTCGGTCTCCCGCCCACGGGACATCAACCAACGTGGAGACTCGGGAATGAATGGAAGAAGAGCAATACAGGCTAAGGCAGGGCCAGACATCTAATACCCTTGAGTCAGCAATTGCTTGTCTTCGGTTGGGATGCCTGACGAGCAGCTTTCCAGAGACCGTTGAAGCATTCTTTGCGAGTAACTAGAACATAGCTTGAAGAGGAGGATATTCAATCTGAAAAGGACTTACGCAAATACAAATAATTCGCCAACTCCATTGTCCAGTCACACTTCTAGCGCCGTATCCGACCCCAGAAGAGATGATAGCCCCAAGAAGCCAACATGCCCAGTACAGGCCGGCGACGAAACCACGACGGGATGGAGGTGCCAGTTCCACGAGATATGTTGGCACTGCGGCAACATCGACTGCCTTTGCAACACCGACGAGGACTCTGGCGACAAAGAACTGAGCCAATGTGGTAGATGTGGCATGGAGAATGCAAGAGATGAGAACTATTGCCGCAGACGTGAGGATACCGATTTTCCGACCCCATCTGTCAACGATATGGCCGGCGAAGAAGCCACCCACAATACCGCCAAGATTAGCCGAGGCAGTCAAAAGGCCTTTGATGTTTGCATCAATCCCGAATTGCTTTTGGAACGAACTCTTTCAAAGGCAAAAATGGTTAACTTGCGGCCAAGTAAAGTGACCTGGATCTCTTACCAAAATATTCAGAGACGACATCATTGAAGAGTCATATCCGACACAAGCACAATTCAGCGCCGCCACGAGGCAGATGAGTATCATGGTATTACCGAGAATCGCCATCTTGACGTACAATCGAACTCTGACTTTCAAGGGAAACGCAGAATCTGGATTGTTTGTTTGAGAATACTTTGCGAGATTCACAGGCTGTGAGCTTCATTTAAATTCAAGTCTACTTTTGCTTCTAGCCATCCCTCGCGCAGATAATTATCTAAAGACTTATCTCAACCACCTCTCGAAACACTTGCTATGAAGTTTTCCTCCCTATCTATCTTGCAGCCAAGAAAGCCAAGAGATCTTTGGAATAGCCACTGTGATAGAAATGAGCGTACGTATGTCGGGTCCCCCGACAACTTTTTGTCGGGCATGGCGCACTTTATCTCAGAACAAAGATAAGGGAGCAATCGCAACTGATAACCAACCACCTACTGCTATCAGTCCCACAGCATGCCGGGGCTATAAGGAACACTTGGACTGAATAGGGCTGGATTTAGGCCCTGGCTCGCTTATTCCACTGCAAAGTATAAGGAATTCACAATACCAAGGCGCTAGGAGCATTGGCACGGGGGACGTCTCGGGCGATCACTCAGCGCGAAAAACCCGTGCAGGTGGCCGGGGGATATACTCAATTTATATCACGGGCAACGTTCCCCGATCAATAGAATCAATGATTTCAACGGTCACTTGACTTCAAGGGCTTGACACGATGGCGGTTCTGTCGGAATGGTCGACTTTGTGGGGAAGGCTCACAGGAGATCCCCGCAGACGAATGCCGCGACTTCGGCCTATCCACTTTTGAGCACACTTAAAAACACCCTGGATGCGGCGCATCCGACCACAAATGTCGGGGATAGCCGCAAGGCAAAAGTCATTGTTTGAAAGAGCACGCAAGTCAAACGGAACAACAAGAATCTTGCAGGACCTCTCTTGACGTGTATCTCAGTCATGCCTCATGCCCTTGAAACCTGGCCTGCCTGGAAAGAATATGGCAATGGCTCAGACAACTTGTTGGACAAATCTTTCGCAAACGCCAAAGCCGAGATCATTGCCCAGTATGGGGAAGAGTCGATTCGCCAAAGTTGGCTCAAGGTTTGCAAAAACCTTGAAGGTGTAACCGAGAGGCTAGCGAGGCTACGCAGTGATGCAGTTCCAGTATTGCAGATGGAAAGCATTCGAGATAAAGGCTTTTCGAACACACAACGTGAACAACTAAGGGCTAGTGGCTGCTGCATTGTGCGAGGTGTGCTTACGGAAGAGGAGGCGGGCTTATTGTTTCGAGATTTGAAAGAGTTTACGAGCAAAAACAAGGGGAAAATACCCGGATGGCCAGCCGAGTCCCTAGCCATATTCAACCTATACAACTCACCTAGTCAGATTGCAATTCGGACACATCCAAATCATATCAAGTTGCAACGAATGCTCAACTCACTTTACCACGATGAAACGGGGGAAACCAGCCCTGAGCCACTTAGCTACACCGATGCTGTGAGAATCCGGCCGCCTGGGCAACCCTTCTTGGGTCTTGGTCCCCACATCGACGCCGGAAGTTTGTGTCGATGGGCTGATCCGCAATACCGCAAGGTGTACGAAACTATCTTCTCAGGACAGCCAGAAAAGTTTGATGCATACGATCTTGGTGCTCGCCATAACGCAAATCAGTTTCTCTTTGAGGCCAAGGCTCATTCTGTCGTCTTTCGCTCCTTTCAGGGGTGGACCGCGTTAACACCCGCCGCCGCGAGGGAGGGCACTCTGATGCTTTATCCAGAGGTCTCAAATGTGATCGCATATGTGCTACTGAGACCATTCTTCAGTCCTCCCGAGAATGAAGAAGACATCATGGACGCCGCAAAATGGACCTTTGATGCAGAGATAACCTCATTCCCCGGTACCTTCAAGGACCAGAGCCAACGAATGAGCATCACTTCACATCCACACTTGCGTTTGAAACAATGCCTCACATATATTCCTAAGATGAACCCCGGTGACACAGTTTGGTGGCATACAGATGTGAGTAGTCCCCATAATCCTCGACCTCCGGTATTGTTCAACGGTAATCTAAAACGTTAACATCTAGATGTGCCATGCCGTCGATCCAGAACACCGCGGCAGCGAGGACGCGAGCGTAGCCTATGTCGCTGCATGTCCAACCACGGAGACAAACAGAAATTACGTCAAGAGCCAATTGAAGGCTGCATTGGCAGGACAGTCACCTCCGGACTGCATCGGTGTTGATGTTAATGAAACCCTTCTGGAAGGATACAAAGGTTATTCAAATGTATCGGAGGAGGGTAAAGTGGTTCTAGGATTTGGACTTCTATGATTGCCATGCTTCACTGTGATATATCTAAATTCTCCCCTCCTTGGATGATTGAATAGTCTAATTCAAATGTACGGTTTATGTGGAGAAACAATGTCTAGTACTCATAATGCTGATCGCCCAATTCCTCCGTCTCTAGTGTTAACTCTTCTACAAATAGAGAGCTGAGAAAGCCCAGGCCCCCAAAGGCGCCTAAAATGATCCATATGTCTCGCATGGGGGTGCTGTATGCATTGCGGATGGCATACAGGAGATCATCCGAAATATCTGCACTACGTAGTGTTGGTATCAATGCGACCGCCTCGTTTGGATCGGTAAGTTGACGCAGAAAGTCCGGCAACGGACCTACATCAGCGATTGCGCGAGCGAAACCGTTGTTAAATGTCGCTGATCCAATTGCCAGGCCAATCAAGGCTCCAAACAGACGAAAGGACACCATGATGCCAATGGCAAGACCTTGATCTGCAGCTTTGGCGCTTGCTTGCATAGGAATGCACGGTACAGTAAAGATGGTCCCGATCCCGATACCTGCAATGACTTGAAACCCAGCGCTCGCCTGGATGTGTTCAATTAGCCCACAAACTACGCAGTAAACCGATAAAAAAAAAGGGGGGGGGGGCTAAATGAGAGACTGTTGTAACTTACTGCTCGCCGAGTCGCATCATCGTAGGATTCATTCCATAAAGCAAAAAGCCCCGTACCCACAGAAAAGAAGAATCCAGCCCAGCCAGATCTCCCAACGATAGTGACGCAGATAGTCCACTACCCAGGCGGCAACTCCAGTGAACACCATGACAAACACACAAAAAGGTAGAATTGAGACAGCCGATTGAAGCGGTGTCTCGAGGAAAACGGCCTGGAAGAACAATGGCAAGTACTGCAAAAGTGTGTACAAGACCATACCGTGAACAAAAGCGCCTACGAGAGAGACTTGTGCTGTCCGCGACTTGAAAATACGGTATGGGAAAACAGCTTCTTCTGGTCGTCTCTCATAAATGACAAATATGATCATCAAGACTGCGCCAATGACTAGGGGGACGATGGTCCTCCAAGAGCCCCATGAATACACGACGCCAAATCAACACCAATGTTCCTGGGACACGCACTGGACGATTCTGTGGTTCCCATAAAAAATGCTAGGCGTATGAGAAAGGTCTTGTCTGACATGGGATTGGGCGTGGGTTGGCACGAATATGAAGACGGTGGCCATTGGGTGAATGAGCCTCAAGGCGTCGATGATATAGTTAGCTTTGTAAATAGTGCTTGCAAGATTTCATCTGAGAGGCTTGATGAAAAAGGGAATAGTACTAAGTATTGATCGATTCATAATTAGCAAAGATGAAAGCCAATACTATTGCGCCTCACATGAAGAACTTTCGAATATAAGTCTGACACGTTATCATTGAAATCTATTGTAAATAGTCGTTCAGACTTTATGCTTATGTTGTCTATCAAGCACGTGCTGCCTCAATGTATTTGACACTCGCGTGGAACCGCTCTCCCTTTTACGCTAACCTTGCCTTTTTCAGTATTAATCGACCACAAGATTGTATTAAGCCTCAACACGACCTTAAAACGTGCTGAGAAGCAAACGGTCAATGGATTGTTCAAATTCCCCACATTGCCGCACAATACTTAAGGCTCAATGCAAACCCTTTGTTCTCCGATAATTATCGAGTAAATCATATTGCAAAATTTCCATGTTGGAGATGAAATTGCCGTAAGCAACATTTGGTTATCATGAGGCTCCTCAATACCTACATTTTCGTTTGGGGAATAACATGTCTCTCAGGAAGGGTGGAAGCAGCGACAACATGTAAACCACGCCCACCATCATCGGTGACAACATATTGGCCCAACGTCTCAACCAAGACGGTCTACGCAGAGCAAAAGACTCTTCCACTAGCAGCACCCCCAGGATATACTCCGGGAGCAAATCTAGGGCCAATTCCAATCCGGCCTAAGGGCGTAGTCTCCCGGCATGCTGAATGCACGGTAGTATCATTATGCTCCTCAGCTGCTTGCAGCAGCGGAAGCTTGCGGCAGTGATGGAACCATCACGTAGCCTGCCCCTTATATTTACACTATCAAAAGCCGGTTACATATGCGCTTGGTCCGCTCACAGTTGACAGTCCTTTCCTTGGTACACTCTCGTTCGTGCCAGATTTAGGCTACTGGATTGACAATTCGCATCGAGTGCAGTTCCAAAATCAATCCACAACTTGGACAGTCGAGGGGGAAGATTATATCATTGATGGAGGCGGTCCTCAGCAAGGTGGCATAAATGGCAATGGGCAGGCATGGTATACCAATGCCCAAGGTCAGAGCAATCGGTTCGGTCGACCGATCTCACTATCCATCTACAACAGCACGAACGCCACAGTACAGAACTTTTCCGTTCGGAATCCTCAGTTCTGGTCGATCTGGGTGCAAGACTCGGACGCAAACTTTGAGACGAATGTAGACGGTCTTGACACGATGCGGGTCAACAACCTTTTTGCAGAGGACTGGCTCTTCCACGGCGGTGATGATTGTATAGCGCCCAAAGGCAACTCGACAAACATGGTTTTTCGCAACTTCTCCCGCACCGGTGGCGGCATGGCATTCGGCAGCATTGGACAGTACGCTGATGCGCCTGATTATATCCACAACGTCTCCGTCAGCGACATGGCAGTAAAGCAGCTCATACACCCGGGATACGGCGGTGCAAGTGTAAGTGGCGGTGCCTGTTTCAAAGAGTGTGTTGGCTTCTCCGCTGGAGTGCCTCCGCAAGGCGGTGGCGGCGGCACTGGCGAGGTGTCAAACATCACGTTCACGAATTTGAGGGTGGAAGTTGCGCAAGCTATCTACATTAACAAGTGCTACCATAAGGTGGATATACAGGCCAACTACTGCGACACATCCACTTTGGTGATTGAGCATCTCTCGTTTACCAACGTTTCTGGGACGGTGCAAGGGACAACTGGCATTGCGTTGGATTGCTCGCTAGCGGCTCCGTGCCACGATCTTTCCTTTTTTGGTGTCGACCTAAGAGCGTCCGGAACGGACATCCCAGCAAAGGTTGTATGCGACAACGCTATAAATGTGACGGGTGTGACATGTCAGGAAGACTAGTAGTTCTCCTGGCCCATCTGTGTTGGCTATAAGATGCATTCTGTTTGTACACCTCCGCCGGGGTAATAATTG